AATAAGGCCATTATAGATTTTTAATGAAGACTACTCATTCAACCAATTTCCCCCCTACCAGACAAAACAGATAAAAGTTGGTTTTATTCTTAATATCTACATCTCCCATTCCAATGATTTGTTGTTTTGTGGATGTTTTTTTGTGTGCCTTTGTATCAACTCTCACTTATAACAAACTTTTCACAGGTTTATCTTGAGAGAAATTTATTCAAAGGACATTTGCCATTGCCTTCCTCCCAAGCTGACAGAGTGGGAATTGTCTAAAATTACTCAATGCATATTGGGTTTCCATGACTGACCAGGAGCCTGGTCTGCCAGAGCGTTATTTCCAACATTCAAACCATCACATCGGCTAGGTTTCTTGCCAGTGGTATCTTGATTTTCCTTTTGTTTTCCCCTTACAAGGGAATGGTCTAGCACATCTTCTTCACTTGAACACCATTTTAAAGTTGATTTCCTATTAGTCAGTGTGCAGATAGACATGCTTCAACATCCCTACCTTGAAGGTTGTTGCAAGAGATATTCCTGTCTTCCTGTGCAAACATCATTACCTGTCTTGTGAAATATCGTTGTAAGCCACAGGAGAGTACACTGTAGTTTGTTGATCTGAAGCTTAAGAGAAGAGAGGTTTCCTTCCAAATCCAAACCAAAGAATATCTTTGAGTGACGGACATCAGCAGCATTGCCCCCACTTCCAATTGTGATAAAGACAACTGCAGGAAAGTGTTTCTCTTCCTGTCAGCTATAAGAAAGACAAATACTTAGATGTCTGTGAGCATAGCTCTTTCTTTTTCAAAGCTGCCAGTGAGAATCCAGGTTTGGAGGTCTTTGAAAATTGTAGCAATTTTGTTTCATTGAACCAAGTTTCAGGGTGAGGGTGATGCTGTATTTAAAGGGACTTGTATGCATTTATTGTATTCTACAAATGTCTTTTCCTCACATTCGGCCAGCTTTTCCAATGCCTTTTTAAAAAGCTCCAGTCTTTCAGGGTTCTTGCACTCATGTTATCGTTACAGTTGCCAATTTCATCTTTGAGATTTTGTTTCATCTTATCTCAGCTGAGTCTTTTTGGTTGTTTTTGAACATCCTTACCATTCTTATGCTTTTCATTCCTCTCCCACCCCAGCCTTTATTTTCACCTTCAGAATATGTGCTTCCTTCCCAGCTTTTATCTGTTCCTTTGTTTCATACCTGCACTCACATTTCAATTCTCTACTGTTTCCTCTTTTGCAGATAATCTCCTCTTCTTAAATTCTTTCATCATTGCTGGACTGCTGCTCATGCCTTCAGTTTGAAATTTAAACCCCTTTCTGCACAGACTCACTTTTTTTGCTCTTCCGAAGCATGATTCCCTGTCTTCTGTTTTTAAGTTAGCATTTTTTGTCAAGACTGCTGTATCCAAGACATTGGATCAGTCATTTTTTGTTATTTATGTCATGTAGGGTGAAAAGGAGGTTATACTTTCTTCATCAGATTTCAAGAGCAAGTATGGCATATCAACTCAGGGAAATTCATTGAGGGGAAAAATATTGCCGTAGTATTTTGTCAGGTCTATTTGTATTCTAAAGACTATATTTTCATTATATAATAAGTTCCCATGATGCAAACCACGAGTGCATGTGTGAAACACTCTTCTGTTGTTTTCCAAACAAACAAAATAATTGGAACCAAACATATTTCCTTTAAAGATTTAATAATGCAAGAACAGTCCTGTTGGATCAGATTAAAAACCAGGGAGTTCAACATTTCAACAGGGATCACCAGATATCTCTGTTATTCAGAGGGAGCTGCATCTGAGCTTAGATAGCAAAATATAACAATAGAATAGCCATAACCTCCATGAATTTACCCCCCCCCCCCCTCATTTAAAGCCTTCTAAATAGGGCTGGAAATAATATTCAAATGGTTAAAAAACAGGTTTTTTTCCAGTGTTGAGAAACGTTAATAAGAAGAATCCTGGACTGACAGGAATCTTTACAGCTCAGAACTGTGCCAAATTCACACATAGCATTTTCTACACAGCACCACCAGGCCAAACTTCTAACACAATGTATGTGGGGGTTTATTCTGTGTAAAATTATCTCATAGAAACAATATTTTGTGCAGAAACAGCATTTACTTTGCATGAAATAATATTTCTTTGTTGAAATATCATTTCCCATGCAGAAAACAATTTTCTGTCCAAAAATATACTGTAATTGGCGTTTATTTTGTTTAAACATGCACATTTACACTACAGAAATTGTGAAAATTATGATTTGTGTTGTAGTATTTTAGAGAATTATGCAGTGTTTCTGTTCCAATTTACTTCCTCAAGAAATCATGTTATCTTACTTCCATAATACTGTCCAAACAAAACAGTGCAATGGCCAAGAAGTAATCCTTTTTAATACAGTTTTAGGTAACGTACTTAACAGTCTCAAGAATCAAGACTTGAATGAAACTGTGTTCTTACATAAAAAATGAAAACTGGAATCAGTCTTGCCTGCCTACTCACAATAGGTTTTCTTTCAAATGCAAATGTGGCAGAATCCTTTCAAATCGTTTAAACACTGCAATAATGTGTACAATCAAAGGTAAGACCAGTAATTTCAGATGGAACACAGGTGCAGGACTAATGGGAAATGGAAGTGCCAAATACTGTTTCTACCACTCAGTGTTGAAAGTAAATACCCAGCTCTTTCTCACCCTTTGCTCTTATATACTCTTGACACAAGATATCTTGTATATTTCTCATATGATCAAGATATGAAAACTGTATTATAGATATGACATAGATGCTCCCTCTGTATCTCTTGTATATATGAAGCAATTCATAATGTTGCAAGTTAAGATTGATGTTTGATATCCAGAAGTGATTTGGTGATGATGAAAGTTCCCAGGGAGAAGGGTTTTTTTGTATCACTTTCTGCAAGAAATGAAGTCCCTTAACCAAGAGTTCCCTGTTACAATTCAAGTGTTTGGGGAAAACAGCCAGTGTTGATATAGGTACTGTTTACATGCAGCCAGAACTAATAACAATAAAGTGGGTTTGTCTGATAGACCAGTCCAATGAAATGTCAAGTTACAGTAAGAAATATTCATTTCAGAATTTCAGGCTCAAAATCTCCTCCCCTGAAGTGACCCATTCTACGAACATACACATTAAATTTATAAAATCAGAATTTTGTTTTCTACTTTTTTTATGAATATAGTCCTCAGTGATTTGTAAATAGAAAATTAAACAGGGATTGCGATTATATACATTAAAATGTATGCTGTTTCTTTGTCAAAGTTGTATAGATGAGTCTTACTATATACACATAGAGGTGATCATAACATGGATATAAAGTTCTTGATATTCGTCATGGTATATCATCTATAAACATATATATATATATATATATATATATATATATATATATATTAACTTGAGACAACATCAGGATGAAGTTTGTTAGTGATTAGTACCTTGGTTGTAAATATATACAAATTTTGTGTTCTGTGCAATCTTTGCAATACAAATCAATTGGGCAATAGACTTGGAAGATGCCGTATTCCAATCTAGGACATTAGAGATTAGTTATAAGGAAAGGAGTTCCACATTGAAATTTGCCCAACTTTCACCATAAAATTCTGACACCTAGGCAAATATTGAGATTGTCCTAGTCTGCTGTGTGGGTGATTAAAGCATATGCATGAAAAAGCAAAATTAAAGTAGAGAAAGATGAGCCACCTTGATATAATATAATAATTGTAAGACTATGCTCAGTGAAGTCAGTGTGACTGTCCTAGTGTCACACTGGAATTTTGGTAGTGAAGTAAACATGCAGTGATATCATTCTTGCATGCAGTTCTATCAAAGCAAAAAGATGAAAAGCTGCAAATTTCTTTCTCACCTTTGAGGGAGCAAAATATTTTTGTTATTATCAAAGGATTTGGAATCTCCTAGCATGACATTGGTGAGCAAATTTAATAATTAAACTAACTTATTGCATAAACCTTTTTTTAAAAAAAATGAAAAGACCAGATGTTTATGTCTTTTTGAGCTGAATATATAGTATTATTCTTTATTTATTACCTGCCCTCTCCCCCAAAGGGACTCAGAGTGGTTTCCAAAATATAACAGAAATGGCAAACATTCAATGCCAGAAACAAATAAACATCAATCAAAGCAAAACAAGAAATAAAACTAACTCAATATAAGTTATAAACAGCCAAAATTAACCGAGGATACACTAAATGAACATGATATAACACCAATGGAAAATATGAGTTATAGTACTCATCTACACCTGTACTAAAATTTGAGGCCAGTCCAAAGCAGCAATACTCCACAGCAATTTTCTGGAGTGACCCTGGTGGTTTCACTGTCTGTCTCTATCCCACAGTGTCCGGACCATCCAGTGGTGCTGAAATCCTTTTTGCACAATTGAACTGTCACCTTACTTTACTATTTCTGTTGCTACTGCTGGATGGCCACAGAGTTCCGGGAGATCTCCTGGTCATTCCCAGACACCTTTACATATGCCATCAAAGGAACCCACCAACTGCCATGAGCTGTCCCAGAACTCTGCAGCTGTCTGCCAAAGTGGAAAAAGGGTGACATTAACTCAATCCATTTCCTTTCCCTGTGGCACTGACCACAGCTAAAAGCAGATGGCAGTGCTAGCCTACATGAACAGCAATTCAAATTAATGCTGGTTTTTGTTGTCCACTATAACCTCAAAACAAAGAATTCCATCAAGGACTGGAAGTCCTGGATGTTGTTTGGATATGCAGGGTCAACTTGTAGTCCATTTTGGGGTATAGGGCTAGTGCAGACAAATTCACAGTCTCCTCTTACAGATATACATTGGTTGCCAAATTTATCTTTTAGACTTAACTACTTGCCAGGGCTATTGTGAGTGAAGAAGAAGGAGAAAGAGGGGGAGGAATGTCTATGTACTTTTCTTAAGATCTTTTAAGGGAAAATGCAATATGAATGTAACAGCATGCTAACCTCCACTTTGCTCCCATAGATAACACAGCCAGCATCCTGACCCGTCGAAGGAAATTTAGCCGGACTACTCAGGACACGTATTACCTCCCCATTGTGATATCTGATGGAGGCGTCCCCTCTCTCAGCAGTAGCGCCACCCTTGTAATACGTGTGTGTGCGTGTGAAAGGGATGGCCGTGTGCGGACCTGCCACGCGGAAGCCTTCCTCTCCTCTGCTGGATTGAGTACAGGGGCCTTAATTGCCATTCTGCTGTGTGTCATTATTCTCTTGGGTAAGCTGCTCTCACAATTAAATACTTGTGTCCTTTCCAAAGCTTCAGATGTTCATAGCAGAGTTGCAGCTTTTAAATATAATGTCAATCTGATCGAGGAATTGCTTGTGATAGGAGGTAATTAGGAATACAAAGCTTTGATTTTTTTTAAAAAAAGCTTCATCTAAAATTAATAAGGATGAGAAGGCTTTAAAGCAGATGTCTGAACTACTGGCATCCAGTCGAATTAATTTTGCAGAGGTCAGGGAGTAATTAGCATTGTGGAACTACCCAGGTAATTTGGTAAGATTTCAGGAAACCAGCCACTGAAGTTACATATCCTGCACTCTTGACGAAAGTGATAAAAAGAGAAGATGAGGAGAGAATTTTTTTAAAAAGGGATTCTTCTGCCAAAAGCACTTGCAGGACTGTATGAAAGCCATTTGCTAATTATCTCTGTGGGATGAGCAGATAATAGCATGAAGCAGAATCAAGAGGGTTGAGGGAGAGAGAGGTGGCAGCAGAATGATTCCATTAGATAAATGTCCTTGGAAATGTATTTTATGTGCCTAGGCTAATTTGAATAGTAACCATTATCTAATATTCTCATTTGGATGAGATTCAATTTGTTCATAGTGTCCTTGTGCATGTCTATATGACTTTGTGTTTGTGTGTGTATATTCAGTGAAAGCTTGAGAATAATATCCTTTTGAAGAACAAATGTTATGGTCGTCTCTCTACAATTGTGGGTTAAGCATTCACATATTTGATTCTTCATTGATTACTCTATTACAGTGTAAATAAAAATTGCAAACACTGAGAGAACACTTCTCTCAAAATCTTTAAATCCTCTAGCATACTTCTATGATCAGCTTCCAGTGATTCTCACAAGATTGTAACAAAAAGTTAGTTTCTCAACTTTTATTTATATTCATGGTTTACCCACTTTCATTGAGGCATTGCTCCCCTAATTCTCACATAAATAGAGAACTGACTTTGCCATGAATTGGAACTTAATTCTGTTTAGCAATGAGAAAATCTTTTATCTTTGTTTATATTGTACTCCTTTCCTACAAGTTGAAAGACCCTGGAAGGAGGATATTTTCTTGATGTAGAGGAATGTCTGTATATTTTGGTAAACATATTCTAATATATGCATAAATTATACATATTGTCCATAAAACACATATGTGCACATTTTTCAAAGCAACACATTTGTAATTGTGTGCATTTATTCACACAGTTCTAAAAAAAAGAGTGACTTGTGATTTCATCCCAGTGAGAGGAAATTGAAAGATGTGAACACATGTTTGTTCATATCATGCATAAACAAATCCACTACTGTCAGTTTTTTCCCATCTCTACCTAGAGTGCACCCATTGAAATTGATGGAAATTGAGTTATATGTAATTTAAGTTCCACTGTTTTCTGTAGCAATCGTCTAGCTAGCACTAAGTCTGACTCCAAATCATCTTCTCAAAATGAATGGCATATTTTGGCAAGTTATATTTTGATTAGTGTTCAAATAGTTTAAACGGGATGTAGTTGTAAGTGTATTTGCTTTCTTGGAATATATGAAAGTGTGATATTATTCCTACAAGTATTAATAACAGCTCAAATATTTCCTCTGAGACACTGAAAAGTGGATATCATCCCAGAGCAAAAGAATCTCACAATATAGCAAGTCACCAAAATAGAAAAGATGGCAAAGGCATGCAAGCTTAGAATAGAGAACAGCTATGTGACAAACGTGGATTCAAATAAAATTGGCTGATGTCTGTTGCATAGTGGAAAGTGAAATACATTTCTTGTCAAATTCTGGAACATAATTTATTATCCTGTAATTAGATTATGGGAAATTACAGGAAAATGACAGTTTATCTTGCACCTCCTTCCATATCTCCAAGACAAATCAATACTGAGGTGTTGATAGTATGCAAGTGTTTTTCAGTGTGATCAATGAATGAATGAATGATCAGATAAATCTGCTAAAAGAGAGGTGATTAATTCATTCAACATCATTTAATCAAAGGGCAGTTTTACTAATCTCCTCTCCTGAATTTTCTCATCAGCAATAGTGGTCCTTTTCATCACTCTAAGACGCAGCAAAAAGGAGCCTCTGATCATTTCAGAGGAGGATGTACGGGAAAATGTGGTCACCTATGATGATGAGGGAGGAGGTGAGGAAGATACTGAAGCTTTTGACATCACAGCTTTGCGGAACCCATCAGCTGCTGAAGAACTGAGGTATCGAAGGGATGTTCGGCCTGAAGTCAAGCCTACAGTCAAGCATCCCACTTCATCCAGCCTTGACAGTATAAATGTTCATGAATTTATTAAACAAAGACTGGCGGAAGCAGACCTTGATCCTAGTGTGCCCCCGTATGATTCTCTACAGACTTATGCATACGAAGGTCAAAGGTCAGAAGCCGGATCTATCAGCTCTTTGGATTCAGCAACTACACATTCTGACCAGGATTATAATTACCTTGGCGACTGGGGACCAGAGTTTAAGAAGCTAGCCGAACTTTATGGAGAAATAGAATCCGAAAGAACAACTTAACTTTCTTTTATCATTACCCTAATAAGGAACATTTTAGTTCCCTAAATAACTTGGAAATGAAAAGAGTGATATCAAAAGAAATATATACATATATCTATGATTACAGTACTCTGAACAACTGGAAAAAGCTGTACACAGTTACTGTAGAAACAAGTGCCCTTTTCACATTTGAAAGTGGGTTCTTCAATTGGAAGAAAGTCAAATTTTGAAGAAAAAAAACCTGCTACAAAATAAAAGATTGTCCCTTTGTGTATATTTTTAATTGTTCAATAAATTTCATGGTAAGGTGTCAGGAATGACACCTTATGATATATCAAGTTGCAATATCCCTAAGCATACCAGAGCTACAGTGAGTTTACTAGGATGCTTACTCACAAAAAGAACTAATTCTATTTAAATGGTTGCAGAATTATGTGTCTAGCTCTGCCTGTAGGTTTGGGGGTTATGGTAACTGGCAGGAAGGTTCATTTGCTTCTGTTTTAACCCCACAACAGTTTTATTTCTTACAGAAGCATGGATTGGGATTGGGATTATCCAAACATGTGCCATTTTAGGGTCTGCTCTGAATTTTATTTGAGTAGTGAACTCTATTGGGGAATGCAACACTTCACTGGGCCAACCCCATTTTTTCCATGGATGGAGAGGTGATGAAGCAAGTATTTAATTGTTACTTATTGAAACACACTCATAATCCCCTCCTTTTACAGCTTTTTGAGTTTTTTAGTGGTATCAATATTACTGTTTACATTTTAACCATTATTTTCAGTGAAACCCTATGCATCCTACTTAAAAGCAAGATCCACTGAGCGAAATGGGCTTTGCTCACCGATAAATGGGTATAGGACTGCAGCAGTGGTCTGTTATTTTTAAAATGTTCACACATTTTTCCTTTTAATTTAGAATGGACGATATTAAATTTCTTTCTGCAACAAAGCTGAAAGCTAAAAGGGGGTTGTCTGTGAACTGTTTTATTGTCATTGTATTGTGAGTTAACCTATGCAACAGCTTGATTTGTCGAATCTTCATTCAGATTGGTGAAAATGTAGACAATGTAACCAATCATATGCTCCTCTGAATCAAAAAAAGTAATGAGATGGTCACTTGATAATAGATAATTATAGGCATTTCTATATGTTCATGTGGGAGAGAACAGATGACATAAGGGAGTCTTCTCTAGATGTTCTGAACTAAGATCTACCCTCTAGGTATTCTGGTCTACACTTCTCATTGTGTTTGCCATGCTGTTTATGACTGATGAGAGTTATAGTTTGATACACCTGAATGTCAGTAAGTTATGGCAGGCTGGTGTGGAACACAGGGCATCATTTGTTGCCCAAAACCTGGACTGAAGATGTATGAATATAAGCCACATAAGTAGGCTTGAGTTAATGCAGTAATCTAGAAGGTATCATTGATACAAAGCACCTACATCAATGCTGTGCAAAACGGAGCTATAATTCTATTCTTTTCTGAGAAATTATTATAAGAACATAGAAGTTCTATTCTGTCTTGTAGCAACACCCAGTAATGCTTTAAGCTGGGTGAGGGGGATACATATGTTTTTGGCAATGTGTTTTAGTCATTTGATAAATGCACATACAATGTCTTTTTTTAGTTCATTTGTTGAAAGCTAAGCTATACATTTCACATTGAAATCCAAGTTTTTACAGATAAAGCAGTTTGGGCCCTTCAAAACATGTTGGCTATTTCCAAACACACACACACACAAGAGAACAACTTTTTAAACTATAACCAAGGTTGTCAAAGAAAGATATTACTCTTCTTCGTACGCTGTATTTTCTTATCTTGTGGGGATCTTCAACAACTAAACAGAAGGTCACTTGGGGTCATCTCCCCTTCCCCCCCCCCCATGGACTACAAAGAGTTTTTTTAATGAACAAATAGAGCACAGATATAATATTTGAGATAATGTACTGAGTGTTTTTACATGATAAAAATATTGTTACTCAATACAAAGAATTAGGTGAAATTACTTCCAGATAATGTTGGGTTCTTCTCCTAGACTGTTTCCCAAGTAATTTAAGCATCTGGAGTATAGTGTGTGTACATTACATATGTACATATATTTGCAAGAGAGCTGTTCTTCTAAAGCTCATTGGTTAAACTGTAGTCTCTGTATTTGAAGGGGTCCATTATTTTATTATGAAAACACAACCAAGCAAAGACTGTATTTATTTTATAGCTTGTTTATTGTTCATTTTTATGTTACAGTTAACTTATATTGACTACTTTTCCAAACATTGCATAGCTGTATTTGTTGGTAGAGATATATATCTGTATGAAAGAGTACAGCAGAAGTGCTATTGCATTGCAACCATCAGTTCCTTTCTCATATTTGTAGGTATGGCAAAGCACAAGGGGGCTTTTATTTCATTGATTGTAAGTAAACTCCTCTTAAGCTTCCACTTAGCCACACTGGTAGAAGAGGGATACCTACCAATATTTTCTATTCAGTGGTAGGAAATTGAATTTAGGACAGCCCATAAATGTGTGAATTTGTCTCGATCTTTCTTATGGCAAGGACATTATATTTGAAATTCTGCAAAGAATTGGTTGCAGTACTATTACTCCACTGTTGTCGTGTAGTGTTGCCAAAATAGATTGGGAACTGAAGTACCAAAAGGGCAAATCTGGAAAGTAAGTAATGAGCAACGTGTTATGAACCCTCATAAAATAACAATGTCTTCATTCCTTCATTGTATTCCATCCTTCAAAGTGGGATATGATGTACATTTGCAATGGTCAGGGCTGACCCTAACATGTGGTAGAATGTGGTAGGTGTCTTTAAATGATAACTGCTAATCCCATCTAGCTTAGACCCACTGAATCAATAGGAAGTTGACTTATTATTTATTTATTTATTTACTTGCTGTTCACTAACTGATTCAGTGGGTCCTGACTAAATGGGAGTAGCTAGTAAGGTACCAAACTTAGTAAAAGATGCTGGAGATCAGAAATCAGCAACAAGATTTTGAAGGGCAGAGTGTGTGTGCCACATATAATGATCAGCTATTTCTAAGCTGCTGCCCTCTGAAGCCTCCATATCATATTGCTCTGATGGTTCAATGGCAGCCTTGTTGACTTCTCCATATAGAATGGAGAGGAACCATCTTTGTCCTTCCAGACAAATAGAATAATGTATTGGATCAGTCCCACCATGGATTTCACGTATTTCCAGGCCTTAAATATGATAGCACTAGAACAAGAAAATAACTAAAGGACTATCAAACACAGGCATGGGAATATCTACTTTTTTAGTATGAATTTGCATTATATTAGGAGACTTGTAGCCCACCTTGACCTCACCATGGCGATGGTAGTCTATATAGTTACAGTTTCCATTACTGCTTACCATCAATGAATTCCTGGATTTCTTCTATCCAGTGTTTATTTCGGTTTTTCCCAAATTACTGATGCCTGAAGCACAGCAGCTTTTTTTTGAATTGTATTTCAGGTATATTCCTTGAAGAGGAAAACTGCCAGAAATAACCATTTTTACAATGTGCAGTGTTTACACATTTCCCGTTCCCAAAAGAGCCAACTCCCCAAGTTTCTGAAGGAATTACTCTTGTCTTGCTTGCTAATTGGAGGAAGCCATGCCCAGAGGTGAGAAAACAATAGGTTAGTCTGAGATTGTTACTCATAGTGAGTTAACCTTTATAACAAGCACAGAATAAGGCTAAATGTCAAAATAACGTAATGAGTGGAATGAACATTACTGGAGTAATGAACAACAACCATAATTGCTTTTCAGAATATTTTAAAGGGGTTGTAACATTATTTTTCAAGCTTTATGCCATCTTGTTCTTTAAATAAGAAACAGTTCGCTAGTGGTTTTCTCCCGCCCCCAGTTATTCAACTTTGTTATAAATGATAACAACAAATTACCATTTTTAACACTACAGCAAAAAACAGTGTGGGATGCTTTTTTTTTACTAAATGATGTTCCAAACTTAGAGCACACCTAGAGTAGCCTCCAATCACATCTTATGCAAAACAACCAAAACAGCACTACGGATAAGTTACATTCAGAAGCAAAGCAGTGTAGTAAATCTGTAAATCATAGAAAGTCAGTGTCCTCTAGGAATTACTCCTTTGGTCTCTCTCAGGAACCTTAGATTTATTATACTAATGCATAAAACTTCTCAGCTCGGTCTCTCATTTCCCCCATCCTCCCTAGATATGGGAAGATACAGGAAAGAGAGAAATGGCAGTAGACATTTCCACTGTCATTTTCCATGTGTGCAGAAAAGGGCCCACAAAACTCTGTTTCCCAAGGAACAAAGTTATATATCCAGAGAATTATTCTAGGTAATACTAATCTACCTACCATACATACTCATGTATAAGTCAAAGACAGGTTTTGAGGCCAAAATCAATAATATTGATGGGACCCATGGATTAGTCTAGGGTCAAAGCACCAGTGCCATCTGAGAGGCCCTTGGCTCCCACCTGCATTTCCCAGGCATTCAAGAGGCATTCAAAAAGGACAGAAGATGTGTCATGGTGGGAAGTTTTATCCCGCCAGTTCTATCAAGCTGGATTAAACTCTCAACTTTTCACCACTCCACTCATAGAAGAAGATGGTTCCCTTTTTGATAAATATTAAAGTTCAGCACTTACACTGGCACATGGATTAATGAGCTCAGATTTTGAGGGTTCCTTTTTTTTGTTGAAAATTTCTAGATTTGAATATAAGTTCAAAGCTTGATGTGGTCATGTATAGATCAGTTGAGTAGAAGTAGAATGATTTTTTAATAAAAAAAATCGAAACCAAACACTATGCACATGTGAAATGAAACAACAATGTCAGGTAAGCTGCACATAAATAGACAAAAATGTTTTAAACCTTCTAAACCGTTCTAAGCAAAGAGTTAAAAAACATCCAGGTGCATTTATTCCCCACCAGCCTTCTTACAGTTTCAATCTTTTATGACTTGATGCACAAATGTCATAGTGGGGAAAGTATATTATAGAAACAAGCTGAGAGCAGCTAGTGAAGTAGACTTATCTGCCGTCTCCTTTTCTTTCTGTTTTGCTGTTCATTGATGGATTCAGAAAGTGGCTGCTGTTTACCTTCCTTGTTGTTGACAAGCACAAACAGCAGTAGTAGGCTCATGTAGAGTATTTCTTTGTAGTTTACTATTGTTTCCCTGCTCAAGCTTTGTTACAGCAACTGCAGACACCTGCTGCAACCAGTAATGGCCAGAATCCTGTTTCAACTTAATCATGTAGTTAACTAAATAATCATCCAGCTCATCCAAAATTCTATGAAAACCTCATTCACCCA